GAAGAGCGGCTTCTTTGCAATTACTAATATATATCCCGCCTTTTCTTTCAATATCTTTATTCAATGCGGCGTATATTATTGAAATAGCCCCTTGATCAGGTGTCTGTAACAAAAACAAATTAATTGATAACAATGGTTCAAAAAAATTTAGAGATTTTAATATTATATCGTTACCTTCCATGCCATCATAAACCACTTGTTTCTGCCTAATATTGTATCCTTGAACAAATCTGTTTTTACTATACCTGGATGCACGGAATATACTAGCACATTTAATGATTTGTCTATTAATAATTTCTGCAATGTTGTCGTAAAAATTGTCTGCGCTAATTTGCTTTGTCCGTATGCTGCCTGCGTGAAGAATGTGCTCCTGATATAATAAAATTAATTTATTGATATAGAAAATAACGTATCATATAGTATATTAACAAATAATTCTGAAACAATATTTTTAAAAATAGATAAAAAGTAGCACATTTTTTTTACGTAATTACTTTGAACTGTTACTGATGGAAGCAAAATCTATGTCGCCAATGTAATGAACGCATGAAGTGACGTTAATAATTCTACTGCAATCGCCAGGATGTCCGCCGGCTTTCAATAATGGCAGAAGAAGAGACACTAGTAAAAAATGTGATAAGTAATTTACCGCCCATTGCTCTTCGAAACCATCTTCCGTTTCTGTATATGGGATGAACATAACGCCAGCTGAAAGTTAACAACAAACATTTTACGTTTCATATACGAGATTCTTTTACATTCTGCATATATCAAAATGGATTATATTTCTCTCCATGCGACCGACGTACCATTGTTGATTAATATGTGAATTTTGTCATAGTCCGCTTTTATTTTCTTCACGAATTCTCTTACCGATTCGAGAGAACAATTATCAAGCTTGTAAACCTTTGCCCGTCCGCTAGTGATGCCAGATTTTCTAATTTCGAGGATAAGTTTTTCACCCGCGGTAGTTGTCCTACAAGCTAATCAAATTTCGGTGTATTGTATGAGTTTCTCAAAAGCCAAACTAATCAACTCCACTTTTTATAAATTTTTTAATTTTATTACGAGAGCATATGATTAGAAAGAGCTTTGACTTTTGAGAAGCTCATATTAGAGCATGCGGGAATATTGCATCGACAATAATTAAATAAATAACTAATAATCACCGATAATCACTTCCATATTACACTGTAATAATTTCTTGACTACTTCCGCTCCTATACCTTTAGAACCACCAGTTACTATTGCAATTTTATTCGGTAGTAAAGGTAGATCTGGAAAGAAGAATTGCCACAAAATTGTGGCAAAATATAAATAAAACGTTAAAATCAATTATGTCTAATAATTAAGTATAATTTCATCTAACTTTAATCGCATCCTGTAAAATAATACACTCAAAAAAATGTCTTGCTGATATAGGTAGATTTCTAGGTGTCACAACAAAAATTTATCGCTATTTTTTGTATCTGTTAGAATATTGTCTGTTACATATAGAATTTATAGCAGCAACATTCTAATAATATCTTCTAGAAAATTTAGGTCCCATTGCCAAATGTTAATCACTGCATTGGATAAATATGAGTTTCGATACTACAGAACGATCTTTGTGAGAAATATAACTGCCAATTATAACTGCAGCATCGAAAAATTGAGAAAAATTGTTTAAAAGAGCTAGATAGATTGAGCGCGTTATACAAATATGTTAGACGTGAGGATTATATATTCATTTGTTTCTTGCCGCTAATTTTTTCTGTCTACCACAGCCAAACTTTATAACAAGTATGATTGGCCTTAACATGGATAGGCGCCACAGAAAAACATTCTTTCTAAATTTCACAAACAGTTCAGATATAAATTCTGTCTCTGTCACTTAGATTGATTAAATGCGAAACATATGCGATATCACAGTATTTGCTAATCATTTATGTACCTCAGTTAATTTTGCGCACCAAGAAAATTTTTGCTGTAGTTGCAATACCACTTTTTTGAGTGTACGATTATTCTCACAATACTTTATGAATTATCTATGCTTTGTCTTCACAAAATATAATACTTTAAAAAATTATATGGAGATACATTTTTAAAGTTACAATTAAATATTCGCGCATGAGAGAGCGTTAGATGCGCGGCGCATTCGTTTTGATACAGAGGAAAAACGAAAGGAAGGAAGTCGCTGCACCGTAACGACTGATGTTTCCGTTTGGAGCAGCGGCGGCATAGACGAAAACTCGTCGGCGGAATAAAAGTTCCACCGGTGCTTCCACCGGAAGCAGCAGCCGTTGCGCCATTATCTATTTCGTTTTTCATTCACATACGTTCGGATGCAGGTGTGAGTACAGCTTTAGGTACGGAACACCTACGAATAATATAGTTGAGAGCGTAATAGCTCTAAAATAACGAGAATCCACCACCAAGATAAAAATTTCCACGTAAAATTCTATTCCATAAATTAATAACGTATTTTACATTATAATAGAATTATCTACAAAATCGTAGGAATGCATATTATATGTACTCTCTGTTTGATATAATAATTCAATTTGAAATATATAATTCAAATACATATATAATTGAGGTTAATTTTGCGTACCCAGAAAATTTTTGCTGTAGTTGCAATACCACTTTTTTGAGTGTAATGAGCGAACAAATTGTGTGTAAAGCGTTTCTATTGCGTTCTATTTTGTTTTCTTGAAAACACGCATGTCGCAGCTAATTGATTAAAATAGCCAAATGCTACATACATTTCATTGTTATTAGACATCATGCTTTTAAGAAATAATTTTTATATTTTCGTACAACTTTCGTAATTTTCATAAAATTTTTTTTATAGAAACTATACCGAGATTATAATAATAAATCATTATAATTGCATTCTGTTTGATACTTTTCATTATAATCTTTTTCCAATGATAATTTATCAGTAATATGACTTAAGAATATATTAAACTCTCTAATTTATGTAAATTTTATATATTTAATATTTCGTTTTTATTACTTATATAAACAAAACATTCTTATAAACAGTAATATTAATTTTGAAGTGTTATAGTTTTGTTATGTAGTATTTTTCGATACATTTTATATTTTTTATTGATCGATACACTTGCGCGTACATAGAGAGTGTTTTGTTATTTTTTTAATGGTACAGTATATATTTGAAAATTTACACAAAACAAATTTACATTTTTCTTTTTATTTCTTACCTGTTTTATTATATCTGGCGTTTAATAAATCGTCAAAGTGATATACGGCTCCGACGTAGTAGTATCTTATTTGGTAGATCAAAGTCGTACCGATTGTATACCACATTTTCCGAGACACAAAATAAACTCCGAGCACAATAAGTACGCAAATCACAATCGTATCGAGTAACATTTTTTCGTCAAGATATCTAGAAATATAAAAAAAAAATCGTATGCTACGTTTTAAAAAGAGGTAAAAACTTTTCTTCGACCAACCAGTTACCGTTAGGTATGTCCACTTACTCTACATCCGAACTTTCCAACTGCATCAACCGTTATGCGCGTGGTTCTATCTGCGCACAAATTATATATGACGAGGACTATCCTTTCTCTGAAATGGAAATTTTACGTATTTAGCTTCTCCCTACCATCATTTAAATATTTACGTGTATATCCTTTAGTTTGCATTCATGAGATTAATTAAGATTTAACTTGAATCTTAAGTTAGATAATTTATTTGAAAATATAAAATGTCTTTTAGATTTTTTTCTTTATCATCTTTTGGATACTTGTGTCTGCCTCTGGAAGGCTATATTTTATTTTGTTTAAAAAGATGAGTGTATATTATATCATATTAATATCGTAATTATTTTTATGTAATGACATTATTTATTCTTATCCGACAATTAAAAATTTAGGGTTATGTTTTAATGTAATTTCCGAGTGAAGTACATATTATATAATACGAAATATGATTGTGTGGTTTGGCTGGCTAATAATTTAACAATTTACGATATTTTACCGAATCATTAAATAAAAAAAGAAATATTGAATCATTTTTGTGGAGTCATTTTATTTTCTTTACTTTTCTTAATTGGACATACTTGCTACATACTTTGCTTTAAGTGGATATACTAGCAACAAAAAAGAGATCAATTGCGATATAAGTTATCATAAACAAATAACATTTATACTACCAAAATTATTCAAGCTATATTATATTGTATCGCGAAATGCACATTCATATCAAATTGCTTACTGGGATTATATTGTATCGCGAAATGCACATTCATACACAGTGTGCTGAATATCTTTTTTTACAATTCTTTCTCTATTTTAAGACACAATTATGCGGCAATATCAAATATAAATATAATTCGTCAAAAAATAAATTGAAATCCCGATATGTAAAAAAAATGCGCCAAATTTATTTCCTGTATTATCGTCGAAATGTTTAGAAACATAAAGTAAAAAGCAAGATTAAAAAAAATGTTTTGAATTTATCTTATAAATAAGTTATAATATATATGTAAATATTTTGTATATTTTCATATTAACAAATTGCGTAAATTAAAATTCTTTCAATATTCAAACGATCTATTCTAGAAAAAAATATGTACGATAATAAAATTTAATATTATTATAATATTATAATATTATTATAGAAAGATCAAGACTGAAATTTGATTATACATAATCGATTTAATTTTGAAAAATTCCATTAAAAGCATACTATCCGATAATTCATATACATAAGTCAATATTATTTGCGTTTTATTAATCATTAATGATGTATTTCTGTATTTTGATGATTATTCATTTAATGAAATAAATTTAACATTTCTATAATGCCTTTGAATAATATTAAGATATTAAAATAAAGCAATAAAATTAAAAAATTCAACAAGGTTCGAATGATAAGATATTAATATTAATATTAATTAAGATATTAATATTAATATTAAAATATTAAGATATGCCATTGAAGTGTATAATTATTTTTGAACCATTATATCAATATATAAGATTATCTTGTATATAAGTAAGCGTTTCATTCAGCAGTCATATATGTTCGCGTACTTTTTCGTGGAAATAAAAATATCTCTTTAACACTCGACACATTTTTGCAACTTTCGGCTGGGAGTTACATTTTGAGAGAGACACAAGATACATAATACAATAGTTAGCAGGATACTCACACTGACATTAGTCGATAGCCGGTAACAGCTGATCAGCTGATGTGGTTGGCGCATGAGCGTAAAGTCGGGTCCACAGTCTACAATAGATGTAGTAAGCCTTTAGCCTTTAGAATTATATAAATTTTAAGAGCTGGGATCTAGCCAGGCTTGCTTAAGTGCCGGTCTACAATAGGTGATTTAAGCCCTAAGCCTTAAGAAATTGACCAATCACAATCAAGTATGAGGAGAATACTCGACTGTGATTAGTCAATTTCTTAAGGTTTAGGGCTTAAACCACCTATTGTAGATCGGTACTAAAACTTAGAGATTAGAGCTTCTGGCAGCACGAGAAACATTTCTGGTCGGAAACTATGGCCGGTATTCATAGTCCGTTCTTATATCCAAGATCGTCTTAAGTGTGGTCTTAAGATACTATGCGGCCATTTCATTGGTTGAATGGGATCTTAAGACGACCCAAGACCACACTTAAGACGATCTTGGATATAAGAAAGGACTATGAATACCGGCCATAGTCCGTTCTTATATCCAAGATCGTCTTAAGTGTGGTCTTGGGTCGTCTTAAGATCCCATTCAACCAATGAAATGGCCGCTATGTCATATTTTAGGGCTTAGAGCAAAAGGCTAAAGGCTTCCCAGAAAACAATATGTAATCAAAAAGATTTCTAAAAGATATCGCATTTCTGAACCTGATAACTTAAAAAGGCTTCTAAAAGATCATATAAAGATACCAGAATGTTATCTAATGCGCCGTTTTTTGAAGACAGAAAGATATCATGAAAATGATGTCTAAAAGATTTCTTAAATTGAACGTCTTTAATATATCTAAATTATGTCAACATATAGAGTTCTTATTTATGATGTCTAAAAGAGATCTGACATATGTTAACATATGAATTTCTGATTCAAGATAGAATTCTATTTATAATTAATATCCTCTGGATGTCCTCTGGATACTCTCCGGATGTCCTCCGGAGAAGGTATGTTGTTAGGGTATATATTTTATTTTGTATGTATTTTACGTTATATTTAAATGTTTTCTGTATTACACGATACATAAAATTTATAACTAGAATTCTGTCCCGAATTCTGTCTTGAATTATTATAGATTGTGTAAAATAAGTATTAGGGAATAAATCAATGAGGATAAAAATTACAAAAATGAGCGAATTTACTAGATTTGGACAAATTAAATTATAAATTTTCTAGTAAATTTGTTCATTTTTGTATAATTTTTACCCTCACTTCAATTACAGAAAATCAATATCTTGTTTTAAATTTTAGATAAATATTTAGAATAACCCACTCTATTTATATTTTGATAAAAACGCACTTGCTGCACATGCTCGTATCATCGGAATTTCGGTATATGATTTTTAACGCTTTAATATCCTTTTTACATTATCGAACGACATATATGCTTTTACTTTTCAAACCTTTGTTTTTATGCAAAAAGATATCAATTAAAAGTATTTGTATCAAAATTTAAGTAGAACGGGTTATTCTAAATATTTACCTAAATTGTAACTAAATGAAAAAGAAAATAGAAAGAAGTAAAATATTATTTATTTAAAATATTTTAATAATAGTTCGATATAAATATATAATATATAATGTATGTAATAAAAATAAGTAAAAAATTAAAATTTCAATATATTTTTCGCCAGAATCATTAAAAAAAAAATTGTTTTTGACAAACAATATGTATATTCTTTATTTCTTCTAACAAAATACATATCGACTTGAGATGGAGCCACATCAAAGGTTCCGCACTACATCTGCAGGTAAGATTCGTGAATCGCAATAACAAGGATCAACCAATGTTGCGGAGGTTCTCGATTCTCGGCTTATTAGACACGTAGATGTTCCGAATAGGTGGACCCGCGCAATTGTTTACTGGTGTTATTGACGTGTAAAAAAAATCGTTGTATCGGAATATATCGTGCGTATCATCGTGCGAAGCGAGTTACGCGTAAGTGGCTTAATGTTCGATTAACTATAGATCAGGTTCGACAGTACGCAATGTCATCAAAATGACGATGTAACTCGTGAACCTATGACTAAAGATCAAGTCGTGCATCGATGTTACATGTGTGGTAATCGCTACGTGTGTTAAAAAAAAAACGCTTACGCATGTCTCCTTTCGACAGCGTCTGTAATCGAGTTTCCGCGATTCGACGTTTCTTTTATTTTTTGCGCGGAAGCGTCGTAATTTTTTCAACCGAAAAGAAATAACTTTCCCGAAGAAAGTGGTAACTTTCACTTTAGAAATGCGTGATGTCATGCGTATTGCCGATATATATGATGTTCTTTTTCAAGTATAGTTCTGCATAGTTTTTGTATCTATTTGCATATGAAATGTACAAGTTTCTTTTGAGACTTCACTAAAAAGTTAATTGAAAGGAGCGCAAAAAAGTTACTATTGGTGTAAAAAAAGAAATTTCTTTTTTATCTTTACTAACTACTTTTTTGCTTTGTTAGCTATAGAATAGCACGGAATATGGATAGTACAAGTGGATCAAGCGACTCATCGCCACAAGTGGAAAAGGGATGGCTAGCTTTGAGACAGCATATTATAGAAAACAAGATTAAGTTCGGATTATGGGTCACAAGACTCTTTACCATAATATTCACCATTGGTTATATCATTCCTATATTTGGGTTGGTTTTTATTTTCATCATTTTGTAGCTAGAATAATATTCTAGTACTTGTGAAATATATTAACATATCTTGCTTTTCTTTTTGTTTAGGAATCCTTACAATATATACTATAAGGTATTGATGAATAATGCAGCCACCAGTGCATTACGTCTTCACCAAAGAGTGCCCCGTGTTCAGCTCACTAGGCAATTTTTAGAGACGTTATTATTGGAGGACTCGTGCCACTACTTGTTTTATTCCTTCATATTTTTATATGCAGCACCGGTTACATGTATCCTTTCAATATTTATTTTACATGGTTTATTAACTAAATTAGTCTCTATTTCTTAAATAATTCATGTTTTAATAATAATAAAATTGAATCCTGAATCAATATACAGTGGTGCTGACGCCAGTGTTTCTTTTTGCTGTGATGCACTTGGCCAGTTATTCTCTTACCTTGCTAGATGTAAGTAAACAAGTTAGTGATAACATGCTACTTATGTGAAAAAATTACATGTGTAGTCATTTTTGCATAATCATTAAAATATGATATAAGTCTTATTAATGTCTTATAATGCATCTTATTTATGTATTCTGTGCAGTGTCTAGGACAGAATAGTTGGTGGGGTGCTCGCCTTTTGATATCTCTGGTGGAATTTCAATCACGGAATATCCTTCGCCTGTGTGCTCTGTCGGAAATTATTATCTTACCATTTACAGTCCTCCTCGTATTTACGTATGTATTACATAAGATTGCTATTTTTATCTGGCACAAAGCAATTGTAATTCAGAGATGGTATTGCGATATGCTAAATTATTATGAGATTATATTGTGATATCTTTCTATTTAGGGGACGCGCCGGTCTACTGACACCTTTCATATATTATCAGTTCCTGAAACTGCGACTTGCATCGCAAAGAAATCCATTCACGCGGAATGTATTTTACGAGCTTAGAAACGGATTGAGTTCGGTATCGAAAAAACCGGCGGTGCCAGATATCGTTCGAAGAATGATCGACGGTCTGCTATCTCTGACTCAACAAATGGCGCCAGTGCGCCAATAATATATACGATATTAAGCTTAAATCTTTTCTTATCATCTCAAGACAGATCTCCTAGGGTTCTAGGGTCCACTCAGCAACACTTTGATGAATTAGTGTTAGCACAAAATGAGTGCCGACATCAAAATCCATAGTGAACGTGTATTGCATGATAATTTGAAGTATCCATGAAAACAATCAAAGCGTATGAATGGTTTCTTCATATTAATATAATTATGTTCGTTAATTATTGAACATTAAATAAGAAAATATGAGGATACTTTGTACTAATTATTATTACATAGAATTCACAGTTTAAAAGATTATATAACTTGGTTAATAGATTTGGTTGTAGATATCTTCTATATTTTGTGGTGCAGCATACTTTCAATCTATTGTTATATTTAAGAACAAAAATATCTCTCTATGCACATATACTAACTTTATAGTTTCAAATATAATACTTTGAAACACGAATTTGTAACAAATAGGTAATGGTACATACAATAGAATTTATAATGTTGATTGTTTGTTAGTTATGTTTTTTTTGATTGATGGATTGATTTTACTTGGCACAGTGTTTTTGGTATTATAAATGTTTAATATTTGGGGTACACAAGATATAAAATTATTGTTGAATTATAGAATTATTGACTCGCCATCTCTTTGGAATAAGTTTAATTTAATACTTGTCATGTGTTTTTGTCAATTGTTCACTGTTAGTGTAATTTTGTCTATCTTCTAATTGATATACTTGAACAGATTTATCATATTTAAAAGTAACTCGGAATGATTTTGTAAACGAAGATAACTATCAGTATGCAGACATGTAGCAAATCTCAAAATATGGTCAATAAATCTTTCTAAATAAAATGTATTAAGATATTTACAACGAATTATTTTATCTAATACAAATATTTTTATGTAATACAAAAAATTTTTCTTCGAACTTTTCAGATATCAAAACATATTTAAAATAAAACACAGATTTTATTTTCTATATTTATTTTTTATTCAGATGATCATTACACAGCAAGAGGAGCAGGTTGAGGTATATCTTTTGATGGTTTTACCTCAGAACTCGGGACCGATGGGGGTACTTCTTCCTTCGGTTCCACAATAGATACGTAATCAGGAAGAGGTTTCTTCGGACCACTCTTGCCATTAGGATCCCAGGGAAGCATAATTTTAACCTTGATTCCTAGTACACCTGAAATATTACAAAAAAATATATAAATATAATAATTTTGTAAATTATTAATTTTTAAACATTTTTAATATCAATAATAAATGATTTCTATAAAAAAAAACATATTATTATTACAATATTAACTCATGCAGTCATCATGGTAATGTAATCATACCTTGGCGAAGGAGTACATGCCGGGTGGCAGTGTTGACATACTCGTTGGTTGGCTCACCCGAATGAATCATAAGGCCATCAACAAACTTCATTGATTTCGCTCTCTGACCACGTAGTTTACCACTGACAACAACCTCGCAACCTTTTGCACCAGATTCCATGATGAAACGCAGAACACCATAGCATGCTCTAATTATAAATGAAAAAACAAAAAATTGAAGATATTTACCAGAAATTGCAGAAGGTATATGATGAATAAAATAGACGAAAAATCGAATGAGACATTGATTTACCTTCGTACAGCAAGACCTCCAATCAGTTTGTATCGCAGAGACTCTGCTTGTGCAATGGCGCACAGACCACGCGTGGCGACCTTTTCGGCATATAACTCAACATTTTGTGGTTCTTTAAAGTTGAAACGCTTTTGCACCACAGACGTCAGTTCTCTAATCCTGCGCCCTTTTTCACCGAGCACGCTCTGCGTATGAGTGGCCAACAAGATAATTTCCGTTCGGTTTGGCGTCACACGGACCTCCACGCCCGAATAGCCATCCTCAGCGAGCTCACGAGTCAGGAACTCGTTCAGCTCAGCCCTGAAGACACCATCTCCTACAAACTAAGGACAAGTAGGAAAAATTAATATACATAATATCAAACCTCTCTTCTTGTATCATCGTGTATATATATGAATTTTTGTTACATAGATTCTATTTTTTTTATACTTTTGTAGACCAATTACATTAGTGTGTAATCAGGTTAATATAACCTGATCTATGCTCATTAAAATAAACAACTATGCACATAATACAATGTAAAAAATATCAAATTTAGTCATTATAGAGAAAATAAAAATGCACTGGGTTTGATTTAGCGGAGCCTCACACAATATAAATATTTTTTCTAGAAACTGAACACGCGGAATGTAAAATCAATGAGAGTGACGCTGGAAGTATCCATGTCATCCACAATTTGCGGATATTGCATCCGCCAAGTTTTCGACGAAATATGTTTCTAGCAGCTTCCACCATTATAATAATGAGCATATTTTCACGTATTTTTTATTATAAACTCTTGAAAATCACAAACCTTCCTCTTCTTCGATATGGAACGATTCTCCATGTTTTCACTTCTGATCTAGGGGGAGATCAGTAGAAAAAGACCGAAACATTCAGCTGTAGATCGGCCACGAACTAAGTGACATTATTAGATGCGTATATCCAACTCGCATATGTGTACATCTAGTAAAATTGATTCCGAGGTCAAAATAATATATAATTACTTCACATTGATAATCATCTCGGTGTAAAAATGATACATTTATTATTTCTAAAAAATAGGATGGATTTAATTATATTATATTTAATTTTCACAGTGTAAAAGAGAGTCTAGACATTTTCAATCTTTTACCGATTGGCCTGTTTCGTATTCGACCGAATATGGCGGAATTAAAGTCCAACTATCCAAGTTCTTTTACTTGGCCTTTAATTAAATTGTACAATCACTTATTCTATCTCTATTAATTAAGTTTATGTCGATATTATGGCACATCGAGAATGTGCGTCCTGTATCGCGTATGAGACGCGATGGAGTGGCGGACTGTGGTGGTGATAATACTGGTCGTGAGTCTGTGTTTTTTTATGATACCGATTAAAGTGGAGCCCGACAAAAATATCGAGGATGCCAAATTGTTCGACAATTACGTTGCCCAATACAATAAATCCTACAAGAATGATTCTGCAGAATATAAAGAGCGATTCGAGCGCTTTCAGGTGAACGATAAATCGATCTGTGAAAATTGATCGTATATTATATATATATAGTAATCGCAAGAAAGCAAAGGCGCGATGCACAAGTTTGAAGGGTTGCACAATAGTGTTATATTTGCTACAGATTTTCTCGTCGAATTTTACTGTTTATCTTATGTTATAAAATCTGTAAACTTTGCATATTCAAGTTATTCTGATTAAACGCATAAAAACACACTATGAGTCATTCATTCGTTGTGACATGCGTACGATGCCTTAATTAATTCTATCGGGATCAACACAACAGAACGAGAGTAACGATAAAACTCGTTTGGTTTTGGACACTTTATTACGATTTCTCTCCATGTTTCTTTTAATTATACTACATTTTTTGCATCTTTTATTTTGGAAACTCGGTGTACAAATTGAAAAGTATATTATAACTATAATTACATTAATACTGTTTAAAACATAATCAAAAATATACATATAGGAAAAAAAAGTATAGTAACATAGTTAAAATTACATAGTAAAGTAATGAAAAATTATTTTTTTTTATCAATGTTACATATAAATGCAGTCTTTTTTACTTTAGTAATACTATCATAATCAAAAAATAAAATTAATTGCAGAAATCATTACGACACATCGAAAAAATGAATAGTTTTCGATCGTCCCAAGAAAGCGCATATTACGGACTGACGGGATTCTCTGATTTATCCGAAGATGAATTCTTACAACGAATTCTGCTTCCTGATTTAGCTTTGCGAGGTAAGACATACTTTTATTTAAGAATAATCGCGATTAAAGTTTAAAAGGAAAAGGAGAACAAAAGGAGAGATCAACGTATTAATAATTCTCTTTTAATTTCAGCAACTCTTTTAGAAAAATATTGAATTCTTCTAATAATAATAATTGTTTTATTTTATTAATACTAAACAACAAAAATCTTAAAAACTGATCAATCTTTAATCCTTCTTTTAAAAAATTCAGTTTTTATTATATTTAATAAAATAAATAAAATTTTCTCGAGGAAAGTCCATAACACGAGTTAAATATGAATATAATACAATTTATTTGCTGACATGAATATGGCAATTTTATCAATTAGGTCAAAAACATACGACGGCATCGTATTATCATCAACATTTTACGAACTCAGTTAATCGCGTGAAAAGGATAACGGGTGTACCCTCTAAATTCGACTGGCGAGACCGAGGGGTCGTAGGGCCAGTTCGAAACCAGGAGAGTTGCGGTGCGTGCTGGGCATTCAGTACTATCGGGGTGGCCGAATCCATGTACGCCATCAAAAACGGAACTTTGTATCCCTTTAGCGTGCAGGAAGTAGGTCGTTATATTCCTGACACGCTTCTCTGTTTACAGGCGAGGGAACTGCTGGAAAGAGCACGTAGCCTGTGCAAAATGCAAATTTGATGAAAATGCCTTTGTGCGTATATTGAACACGTACAAATAAATTTCACCATCGAATAAATTTGTCTTATATATATGTATATATTAATCGACTTTTAAAGCCGCTTGGATCCTTTTTCTTTTTTATTCCAGCAGCCCCCTCAATTTTTCAACCATGCAATCATGCAATCTGCCACTTACACGTAGGGAACTAAAAAAAAGTTTTAAGATTTTAAAAAGACTTGCTATATATAACTTTCTCGATACGCTAAAAGAAATCAATATAACAACAAAATTGAATATTTCCTGAAAATCTCAACATTTTCTTAGATCCCTACATATCAATTTGGCAGCAGATAGTTCAACTTTTATTTCGTGATACAGATGATCGATTGCATGCCGGGCGGTTACGGATGTCAGGGCGGTGATATATGCAGTTTACTCTCGTGGCTTCTGGTGTCAAAGACCGGAATAATTTCCGAGAACGTTTATCCTCTCACATGGCGAAACGATGCATGTAGATTGTCTAAGTAGGTGCACGCAGATGGCAAGGGTATTTGCTTAGCAATATAAAAATATATATGACTTAATCTATAATCTAAAGACTTATATATAATCGTATCAACAACAGCTTTCAAAGCGACGCAATACTATTTCAGAACTTCTGCGAAGACACTGGAAGTTAAAATAACGGATTTCACATGCGATAGGTAGTTAATTTTTGTATTTATTAGTTATTATTTACCTCCAACTATTCATTCTTTTGTGCGCATAGTGAATATAAAAATGTGCACGTATTTTCTGTTATGTATACCAATTGCATAATAGCCGATTATATAAATATTAACAAAAGCTGCGCGCGCAAAAATTTTTGCACGCTGTACGCGTCCAACACCAGTTCTCGAATACTAATCGAGCTTGTTCCAGCTTTGTAAATGCTGAAAGCGAACTTTTGACACTGCTCGTTACTCATGGACCCGTGGCAGCTGCGGTGAATGCCATATCTTGGCAGAATTATTTAGGCGGTGTAATACAGTATCACTGCGACGGTTCCTTCAATAATATGGATCATGCGGTACAGATAGTGGGATATGATATGGAAGCGAGTATACCGCATTATATCATTAAGAACTCGTGGGGCTCGGCCTTTGGTAACAAAGGTTACATATACATTGCGATCGGTAAAAATTTATGCGGTAAGATTAATTACGAATCGATAGCACACATCTGTGCTAATTAAATTGACTATTTCAGCAGATAATAAATCGTGTGTTCGCAGGTATAGCTAATCAAGTCTCGTCGCTTGATATTGTTTAACCGATCACAACATCCTAAATCGCGTTTCTATTTTTAAGGAAACAAATTGAGAGAGAGAAAGAGAGAGAGAGAAAAAAGCCAAGGATCACAATTAAATATATATATATCTTTTTTACAGAGAAAGATATTGTAAACAGAAGTATCGTAAGACTGTAACTTAATAAAATGCTTTAATATATATATATACCCGATTTTTTCTTTTAATTCTATATTACAAATTAAATTTGAATTGCACAGTATATTGAAAATCTTTTTAAAGATATCTAGTAATTCAACTCTCTATATTGAAGATTTAAAGTATTCATTTATTCTAATTGCAGCGTAAGTGCATATAAGAAAATAAAACTTAATTGTTAGAGTTTTATGAGGTCTGCTGTGTCGTGCGTACAGTAATTTAGGAGTTTCTTAAAGAGTCTGCCGATTTATTTTGATTATCTTCCGAGTTCCAACCGTTCCAGGCAATTGATAATTTTATCTTCATTTGCTTCGTCAGTGGTGGAATCATATGACGAGGTATCAGGAAGGTTGATAAGTTGAACAGATCGAGGAATACTTTATATCTATCGCTGTTTAACATATAAAACAAGCAAAGAACTTGTTATTAAGATATACCTTCATTTGCAAATACAATTTGTAAACCTAAAAAAATTCAACATATGCACATCTTTAGAATGACATATTGAATGACTAATAGAAAATAGTTATCCATGATAACTTTTATTACGACGGAATTTTATATTTAATTTATTGATTTATGATATAAAATGTTTGCGTTGCGAGATAACAAGACTTCGCGATAAATAAAAAGTGTTGTATTGCATTTGCAATATTAGCAATATATTGATATGTTTTTTTCACTAAATGAATTATTGTATATTGAATTAATTGAAGCAGTTAAATACCTTAGCGTGGATTTCAGATACTGATAACCGGAAGAGCCACCAGTGCCCAATTGTTGAGACCCGATCATCCTTTGTACCATGATAACGTGATTATCTGATAAAAAAGATTTGATTTTTTCAATGCATATATAAACGGATAAGATTACATTAGACGATATAATGGTAGCATACATATATGCAACAGCATTGTCATCAATTTAAAGATTAACACGTTATATATAAATAAGAGAAGTAGATATAACATATTTTCGTGCATTTTGTTTCATTTGTTATGCCTTGCAATAATCATTGTTTTTAAATTATAAGCAATAAGAAATTAAAAAATATCAAACGTAATCTCTTTAATAAATATAGATAACAAGGTTTCAGAGAGAAAAAGAAAGAACGAGAAGCTGTAGTTAACAGAATTCATTTTGAGATGAGATTACAAGAAAGAATAGAAATTTAATAAAACTTTTATAAAAGAAACACCTTGTGTGTGTGTGTGTGTGTGTGTGTGTGAATTAAATTAAAAGAAGAATTCAGAAATAAATGAGATGTATAGTCTCGAAGTATTATAATACGTGATATTGATGAGCATTTTCTTACACCTCCATTTCGTGATTAGTGAGTCGATATCCATTAATGCCGTGAGGATTTGATGCGGTTGACTGAATCGCGGCTCGTCCCGATACAAAGTGATCATTATTGCTCCTTGAAGGGCACCGTATGAAAATCTACGTTCCCCTCGCGACACGAGAGCGTTGTGAAGCGATTCGTTGAAAATGGTTTCGAAAACCGCTTGCCGTGAGCGCACATTAGCCAACAGGTACTCTTTGATTTGCTGTTTTGATTGTTTCTGAAATTTGTTCAAATTTTAATATTTGAATAATCAGAACTTGAAAGTAAAAAAAAGAGAACATTATATATTATAGTCTGTCTGCTTTTCTTTATAATTTTCTCTTCTTTACATACAATCTTCAATATTAACTATCTTTTATCAAATTTAACTATCTTTTATTGCATATAGTCAAAGTTTAAATTCTATTAAATCTATATTCATCTAAAGTTAATTAAAAAGCAAAAGTTTTCGTATATATAAAACTTATTTTGGTCTTATTTCCAGAGTTTTTGATCTTAAAATTATTTCGTAATATTTCATATCACATCTATTATAATTATTTTTTAAAAAAAGCTCTAAAATTGTTAAAAAGAGATCTTACAGATAGTTCAATAATATATATGTATATTATAAAATTGATTAAACATAATTACATGTGCGGCTTGTTCTTGTTCAACCAGCATCTTCTCCACCGATCGCTTGTACTTTCCCCAAAAATCAAAATCATGAGTTTCGAGTCCCGGTGTCCTGGTTAACCATCTTTGAACCAGAATACTTAGACTATGCTCCTCTTTTGACCGCTTGATCGCCTCGATAGCTTTAGAATCTCTCCCAAAGATCCTCATATAACTCTGATTATATTTGACTCTATGTTCTTGCTTCACGCCCAATTTGTTCTCCAACAAACGAAATTGCAGTGACTGGAAACCAGACGCTGGACACAAGTAGTCTCGAAATGCCATGAAATCCAACGGCGTCATCGTTTCCAAAATTGTCACTTGATCTACCAATAGCTACAAATTATAATATTCGTCTGTAAATCAATATCATTTTCACACAGTTTGGATTTTATGAAAATCGAACAAAATGACAGTGATGACAAGTTTTTTAACTTGTTAATTAACCATCTGACGAGAAATATGTTCATATAATTTTATATTATGCAATTATTTCGACATTTGATCGGGATTCTATTGATTAAACACGCGTTAATTAACAAATTTAGTAAGAAAAAATAAGTTTCTCTACTATAATTGTAAAAGATACACTATAAGTACGATCTATAAGTACGAGTACAAAGGGACGTGTTTAAAACATTCTCATCGATTTGTGCGACTGCATTCGCATTTCTATGGGTACCAGCGTAAATAAAGGGTGCATAACTACAATGCATTTTTAACGCAGTGCATTATACAGGATGCACTCGATAATGAATAAACATATATTTATATTCTTTAGGAAATGTAGAAAGATGATGATTTTTCTTAACAAAAATTTGGTTGGTCAATTGGGTTCTCTTCATAATTGTTAAATTTTGCGAATTAATATATTCATATATTTTGTGCATGTGTATATATAACCATAAATAATTTATTATATTCAGATTTTTTGAACACGCTATTGAGAATAAACTTGTGATAAATATCTATATAGGATTGATCTCATTTCAATTGTAATTCTGTCTCAAGATATTTGATATTATGTTCTCATGCGTATCGAGAATGCTCGTGGAGAATCGTTTTGTCGAACTTAAATAAAAAAAGATTTGACCACACCTTCATTCTGCGGTATTGAAATAGAGCAACGAGTTTGTTACCTAACGTAACTTTTTTCTCTCCTCTCTTTACAATATAAACAAGTGGCCGATATCGCATGTCATCTAGGGATATTATTTTACTCATCCACCTCTGTGGTTCCCACATTTTTACTCATAATGCCTAAATCGAAAGAGATAAATGTGCGTCATGTCTTAAATATCAATGATACCAGAAAATCAATATAATTCGAGATCTTTATCGCGAAGAATGAGATCATAAAAATTGTTTTTTCTCTATTTATATTTATTTATTTTATACTCTTTCGCGCGCGTAGATTATTATGTTCATTTATAATTTAGATTTACAAATACCATGTAAAACATGTAAAAAGATATGTGTCGTGACAGTAAACAGCTTTGTCTGGTGACACAGAAAAATTTGATTATGCTGAAGGGACGTGCAGACTGTTAGGGCTAATTGGCTTGTGATTAAGGGCCGTTCACCCATCATTGCCATCACTGCTATTGTAAAATAAGCGAATTGATCTGTATACATTTAAATAGTATCTCCTCTTATATATAATTACATTCGATTAATAGATATAAAACTACATATTATTTTTTGCAATGATTTTTTTTCGAAATAATTTGCTTTTATAACGTACTTTTAGGATGAGTACAATGCGACTTAATCGCTTCAGAATTTCCAGGGTTTTCGATTCATTCAAAATGTGAGAAATTCCATTATCCTGTTTGGTAGTCAAGTGATTGCTGGAAGATCTATTGGACGCATCGTAATTATCGGATTCGGAACTGAAGAGCGCCCTGACGGAATCGAGCTCGAAAATAATTTGTTTGAACCACAGCTCGTAAGCTAGGACAATCGAAATGCATGCAATTAAGCAATTGAAATCATACGCAATTAATGTTGATCTCAAATATGAGTTTAAATATGCTATATATATCTAGCAAATAATTAAATAATTTATCACTCTAAATAAAAAATGGTTATTAAAAGAATCAAGGAGCAATTTTTATATATTATATTTTATATATTTCATTCTCATAAAATTGTTTCGCCATCTTTTCAAGATTAATAAATTAAATAAAAATTTAATAAAAATTTGACAATATTCATTCTTTTCCCTCGAAATAACACTTGATGTTTTCGATCTAATGAAAAAAATGGCTTATTAAGCAAATAATTGAGAAAACACTCTTGAAAAAGTACATTATTTACATTGTCAGAATTTATTTTGATAAATTTTAATTCATATGAAATATGATGAAGAGATTGACTAATTAATTGCGTATTTTATCGTGCTTCAGTATTTTTTTGTCAACATAAAAGAGATAAGATGTATCTATAAACTTAATTGTCAGATGTCATCAAAAACTGTTAATTAATACCTTGATGAGTGATAATAAAAAGGTGTTCATCGTGAACTTCATCGCTATATTCGGCACTAAGAAGTCTTTGTGCAGACAATATTTTATCCAAACATAAATATTCGCTATACAACATCGCTGGTCCTTGCTTTAATTTGTCCTCGTCCTGATCGTGATCTTCTCTTCGAAAGATATGCTCGTTGTTATCCCTTTTTGTTGCGTGAGATCACATAACAAATAAAAAGAATAATATACAGCATAACATCGAATGTTGATGACGTTAGAGTTGTGGACTTTAATGCAATCTTTTCTGACAAACATTGCGAAACGCTTTTATCATTATTTTATCATTTAAAAATGTAAAGTTAAATAAGTGATGAAAATAATGCTAAATATATTGGATTCAAATGCATTCGTAGTTTGTTCTAGTAATATTTACTTAATGGAAAGTATATTTTAATAATGTTGCAAGTCAATTTTTTTTATCATGTCAGAATATTGAGAATGCTGAAGTTAGTAAAAAATTAGAATCACTTTGCTCAAACCTCAATTAACTTAATCGGCGATTAATCTATTAAATAATATCTGCATTTTATTAAAATATTATTTTGTTAATGTACACATAAAAATATATCATAAAACATGATAATTAAAATGATATATAAATGATAACAAATTAATATTTTTTTGTTATTTGATACATGGAAAGAAAAGTTAGAAATAATGAATGATATAGCTAGTAGCAATTTTTTAACGTCTTATATAATAACGTTTCTTATATAATAAGCATTCAGTAATTTTATCAATTAAAATAATTATTGATTAAATTAATCGGAGTTTAATAAAAGCCCTTAGAGAAAACTTTTGGAAATAAGCGTGTAAATTTAATACTAATTCTATACGTGGTAATTTTCCATCTTTTTTGCGATTCTTATAAAGATAAATATGATTAGCAATATTTCTTTTCTATTTAAATATTTCAGGTTGAGAGAGTATTTTACTTACGAGATATCGTTTGATATCGGACAAGCCATCCTTGAGATATATGTCTTCTCACTTGGACGTGAAAATGTGGATGAAATAAAACTTTGTTTTTGATGATTTTTTCTTTTAGATAAATAAAATAATTGCTCTATAGAATAATGATAAAAAATGAAATAAAATTAATAAATTAAAATTTGATCCCGGAAGATAAATATGTATAGAGATTCTTTGAATATAACTTATCGAGATATCACACGCAACACACGTTGTCGAAGAGATGGATGACGCACGACTAACGTCCGATTCGCTAAAGGACGGTCACAAACTATCTTGCACGTAACATATTATAATGTACCAATATCGAAAAGATATTAATGTAACAGTCTTACGTAACTGTAACATTGCCATCATGTTATACATATAATTGACTTATTACATTACAAAAATTTCCAAAAAAAAACCTGGAATTTAATTTTGCTTTTGGTAATACAAAAGTCATTTTGCTTTCTTTTATCATAAATAATAACAAAATATTTTTTTATCGTTTTACTTCAGTACATATATATTATTAATTATTAAGAATGCTTAAATCAGAGATTTTCTGTAGAAGATAGGACAAAGTGAATGAATTGCCCTCTTTTTCACCCTTAATCAGAGATGTTTTCTTCACGCGTTGTCGATAAATCGTTATCCGTTGCAGAATTCTATTATGTCGGTCGCGAAAATTTCTTCCAATTCCTTCTTATATATATATATATATATATACATATCTTATTTTGCACATTTTTTTCAATTTGCAAATGATTTCTAGGTATATTTCATATATATTTTATTAAAAAGCCGGAACCGTCATTCGAGAATATCTTTGATTACATTACGACTCTCGTTTACGTAATTGTGCTTATCTCACCAAGAAGTGTTTTATCATAATTATCGGGAATAGATATTATATTCATATCATATCTAAAATTAATTTACCGTTAATTTCTAATATTCTGCTTAACGATCGCGCGTCATTAGATTACATCCTCTAATACCAAAGGATGTGATCTCAAGATTGTAAACAAGTCTACACGCACGGAAGTTCGAATGAATATGTGAGATTAAATTGCCGTAATACATTCAGTACTCGTCATTAGAGAGACGAAATAATATTGAAACAGATAATCATTAACATTAAGTTTGACATGATCCTCCGCGTCTCATTACGTTTCTTTTTTTGTTATGTGCTCTCGCGTTTGCGATACACGGGTTAGGTAGCAAGTAGTTTCTCGGCTGCAATTTGCATAAATTAATACCTCGTGTCCTATCCCGGTTTCCCTGTTTAACGTTCGTTATTACATTTTCTCTCAAGGAGCGAATGGAGGTCTGTCCGTTGTGTGTAACAGTTTTCTAGGTAGCACATTTCTTATACAAAAGACATGATCTACTTTGAATAGCACACTTAAACTTATTACATTACAAAAATTTCAAAAAAAAAACCTGGAATTTAATTTTGCTTTTGGTAATACAAAAGTCATTTTGCTTTCTTTTATCATAAATAATAACAAAATATTTTTTTATCGTTTTACTTCAGTACATATATATTATTAATTATTAAGAATGCTTAAATCAGAGATTTTCTGTAGAAGATAGGACAAAGTGAATGAATTGCCCTCTTTTTCACCCTTAATCAGAGATGTTTTCTTCACGCGTTGTCGATAAATCGTTATCCGTTGCAGAATTCTATTATGTCGGTCGCGAAAATTTCTTCCAATTCCTTCTAATTTTTCCTTTCGACGACAGATATCGGGTCATATATATATTTTAATTGAATGACAAAATTATTATAAAAACGAGAAAATTTTTCAAATGCGCGAATGAAGATATTCAAGAAAAGTTTCATAAGAGAAATCTCAAATATTAAATATATTGCGATAAGTTATTGTTAATTTTTCGTTTTCAATCATTATATGATAAATGATAAAAATGAAATATATGGTATATATATACAATATATAAAAGTATAGTGATCGCAGAAACACACAAAAGTTAAATATAGTTAAAATATTAAATTATTTTAAAATACAATAATGCGTTCTAAATTTGTAAGAACGAAGAATAATATATATAGAAATTCTCCCTCTCTTTCTCGCAAACAAATAAATATATAATGACTATTAATAATTATAATAAACATGGCGATACTGGATAGCAATGAAATCCGTTCATCATACGAGAGTTTAATCTCCCACCGGACATACAATTTCCGGAAATTTTGATAATTTCACATCGCTGATTAATTTTCTTCGCTTCTGTCAGAACGCTGCTCTTATTTAGCCACGATTTCGACTATTATTTGCGTTAGTTTCAACTGCATATTATCGGCCAACCTAATGCATATCTGAGGTTAAATTAATTTCAAAACCTATTTCTACAGTCTTGAAAAATTAAACATTAAAAATCAAAGAAATTTTATTTGGAACAAAAGTTATATATTTATTACATATTAATATATATTTTTAATAATTAATAATATTTTCAATTAAAAGATGTTTGTGTTTTGAGGTCTCCATGAATCTATTCGTGAGTTTTAAATAAGCGTCAATTATCCATACGTGTGTGCAAATAATGATACTTTGTATCCAAGAGATTCCAAGAAAAAGAGATATTTAATTTTGTTCTAATCTTTAATGTTCCAATTTTATGTTGCAAACAAGATAGACTAATTTATTTAATAAAGTGCAAGATTTTGAAAATTTAACGTTTATCAATTGCACATACATTGCCTTCAAAACTGAGACAGTTTGATCCGCAATTTACTATCAAAAAAGATTGAAATAATACACGTATAAATATAGAAAACAACGCTCTTCGTGATAAATAACATTTCCTGACATTTTACGAAAAGACTTTATACTAGTAAGAAATATTATCTTTGTAATTTATCTATTTTATATTTTTAATATTTTGATTATTATATGGACTGCAGTCGTGTGTTCTCTATTGTATTGAAATATTTACTCAATCATGCATTATGAGTTAAGGCTAAAACCGAAAAAAACGAGTATCAGCACAATCATGCAGGTTACATCAACACAAATAATTTCTTATCATTAAACTAATGATTCAATCAAATAAAAAACTATAAAACGCGATGAAAAATATCAGCGTTGCATTAAAACGCAAGATATTGCGCTCATAAAGAGAATCTTATAGTTATAGTAATATAAAATTAATTATAATATTCTGCTTAACGATCGCGCGTCATTAGATTACATCCTCTAATACCAAAGGATGTGATCTCAAGATTGTAAACAAGTCTACACGCACGGAAGTTCGAATGAATATGTGAGATTAAATTGCCGTAATACATTCAGCACTCGTCATTAGAGAGACGAAATAATATTGAAACAGATAATCATTAACATTAAGTTTGACATGATCCTCCGCGTCTCATTACGTTTCTTTTTTTGTTATGTGCTCTCGCGTTTGCGATACACGGGTTAGGTAGCAAGTAGTTTCTCGGCTGCAATTTGCATAAATTAATACCTCGTGTCCTATCCCGGTTTCCCTGTTTAACGTTCGTTATTACATTTTCTCTCAAGGAGCGAATGGAGGTCTGTCCGTTGTGTGTAACAGTTTTCTAGGTAGCACATTTCTTATACAAAAGACATGATCTACTTTGAATAGCACACTTAAATATATATAAGCAAAAATTAAATATTATAAATGTTTTTACGATAAAAATATAAAGTAACAATAATATGACAAAAATATATTTTGGCGATGTTTAAAGTTTGTATAATTTGTCTTTTAAAATCGATGCATAAAAAAATAATAACGTAATACAAGACTGCGCAATAATAAATAATATAAAAATAGTGCAAGGATGTATCAAGGCGAAAGCTCGCGGGTAAAAATCTGAATTGCAATGTTATGATTTAAGATAACGATGACTTACTTTGCAGCATTAGCATGCGTGCTTAGTACATATATCTGCTAATTCTTTTCTCTTGCTTGTACAATCTGCAGAATTTTCTTAGAATGAGAGTTTGTTCTGTCGCAATCGAGTGCAACAATGTGAAATGAAGATAATGCACCGGCTGATTATTTGCTCGCAATTTCGTTACTTTATGTGACCGTCGGGTTGGGTCGACGCATTAAATCACGCGGAATCCGTTTTACGGATTAAAGTAAGAACCTGAGAAAAAGGAAAGTCGCGCTCTTTCGATCTCGTACATGCGGTATACGGTCTCGCCTTTTTCTCACGATTACGATAACCTACTTTTCGCGATAGTTCGTTGTACCGCGGATAGCGAACCTGCTCCTTCTAGTATCCCGTCATCCCCGATCGGATAGAAGTTATCTCGAAGAAGAAGATAAAACGCATGTATATAAATAAATAAATAAAT